AATATGCCGACGATTAGGACTGGACTACGACTGGTTACCGGATTGGACTGACTTTTGACTACTGGCTACTGGCATCTCCGACTGCCGCCGGCCGATTAATCAATGATAAATCCGAAATAGATAAATGACCAGGCACATGGCAAATGTTGTGTGGTCCCCGGTGCAGGACTGATCACCTGCTGTTGCCTCTGTTGCCTCCAATCTGTTGGCCAAACCCATTGGGCCACTCTTTTTTCCAGCTTCTGCCTTTTGCTCCTCGGACTTCAATAGCGGGTGCAAGATAAATGCCCCACTGATGATGCTGACAGAGAGCCAGCATTCAGGCGCGGAATCCAGAATTCAGAATCCAAAGCCAGCTCCCCTTGCATCATCGTCGTCATCATCATCTGCATTGGCTCTTTATGGGCATTGTCAATGTCCCGAGACGCATTTGCATCGTACGGTTAATTGTGACCGCTATTTGTTGACCAATTGTGGGTGGCAGCCACAACGCAGAAGTACTGAACCACCACCATCGAACCACCGAATTCGGCATCTCGTGGCATTCTGCATATGCCGAAAAGAAACTGAGAACGGGTTTAGGTTTCCATTCTTGTTCTCGTCGTTCCCTAGCTGAGGGTATTTTAATTATTTTAAGCAATATGCATAGTATGCATTTCATACTCAATATTGGGTTTTTCAAAGAATTCAATGTAACAATAATCCATTGAAAGTGTTCTCGTTTTGTTTGTTCTACGCAAAAAGTATGAGTAATGATGCTATATATTTTATTAAAATATTATTGTTCAATCGGCACGTATGAAGGCAGAGCTTTTGTCTTTATCAGTTTCTTAAGTACTAAAAAATTCACATTCCATGAACTAAACTTATCGTTGTACAATTGAAATACAATAGAAAAATGCACAAAAAGTCTCAATAAAAAATGTAATTAAAATATACTAGCAAATTCCACGAAAAGTCTTAATAAAAAGAGTAATTAAAATATAATAGTAGGTACATTCCACAAAAAGTCTTAATAAAAAGTATTATTAAACTATAATGGAAAATTCCCCAAAAAAAATCTGAATCCAGTCAAATTAAAATATGAAGTATGTAAAAAGTCTTAGTAAATAAATTTATATTGCCTTCCATTGAAGACCTTAATCGTAAATTAGAAGACGACTTATTACGATAATTATTGTCCTTCGACTTTAATTTTTAGCATTATCATTTTAAATGGTGTAATATGCAGAAAGACAAGAGGGCAAGGGTATTTCTACCTTCGATCACCGGTTCTAATGCCTCCTCCTTTGGCATTTGCATGGTGCTCTCTGTGACTCTGGCACTCTGATCCAGGTTCGCACAGGTGGCACTTGGAGTGGCGACACCGGAGCACTGGAGCTCCAGCGGTAGTGGTCGTGTCCTCCTGCGAGCTTTGCCCTCGTTAGCTCAGCACGTTGCAGTTGCAGCTAGCCGGATATCTATATATAGCCAACTGGTGTGATTTTGATTCATGGCGCGATTATATGTGCGCACGCAGTTTATCTTCTTTTCTTATTTCGCTGCTGTTTTTTTTTCGTTTTGGTTTTTGTTTTTCTGTGAGCAGCAGCACAGTAGCTTGGGCCCAGCGTGAAGGCTTGAAACCCGAACACTTTCTGGAGGAGCGCCTCGACGGGTCTCCAGTTTCCCAATCCTCCGAATACCGATCCGTCCCTGTTGCTTCCTTGTGGCACTTAACATTTTATTGTTAATAAAATATATTACAAGGCGCAATACAAAAGGCCAACCGGGTTGTGTGCCAGAGCCCGGGTTGCTTTCAGGCCCAAATGCGTTAACGAAATCATCTACCACATCCTCCGGCCCCTTTGAGATCTCCTCCAGGTGGAACTAGCCCCCCAGCCCCCGCTCCAGGGAATGTCGCGTGAGTTCGTGTCGTACATTTAACGCGTGACTCCTTTTGAAAATTGTTCATAAATTTTGCGTTTAACAGTAGCAGAAAGGCAACGGCGAAAAAAAAGACCCACAAAAGTCAGTCGAATACAAGATCGTTGAAGGCTGCGGCCAAGGAATTGGGTAACTGAAATTATCGAAAATCGGAAATTCAGCTTGCAGGTTAATAGCGATGCCCTGTAAAGGAGATAACGTAGGATCTGGTAAATGAAATTAAAGATAAATTAGTAATCAGATAAGATGATATTTTTCTAAAAATATTCTTGGAATATTTTTAGAAAAATGGAATTTTCGTAATAATTTTTTGATTCTGGTAAAATACATTTTTTAGTGGAAATAAAAAAACATTAAATAATTATGACATTTTCATAATTTTTAAGCTTTAAGTGCACTCCGAATGCGGCGAAGGGCATTACCATTTCGCTACGGACTGTTTGCCTCATAATTTCAGTGCAACTCAACGAAAATGATTTCACAAATCCGACAGATGCAGCGACCACAGACCATGGCGACAAATAAAATAAGGGAGAGAGCTGAGAAAATGAATTACCTGCTGAATCTGAACTCATCGTTTTGCTGCCTTTCGCTCATTATAATGCAAATGCAATATATAGACTCATAAATTTATGCGACCATTCGAGTATTTCTAATTAATAACACACAAAATGTAATCAGCAATGTTAATTAGGCACATCCGCTGCTCGGATCGGTTCATTCAGCGTTGTCACCTCCACTCCACGTTCGTTTTCATTCATAAAAATCCGACAGAGGCTCTGTCACAGTTTTCGATTCGGTTTCGACTGCTGCCCACATGGCAAAATGCTGGCTGGATTTGCATAGTTCGTAAGCCAAGTCAAGTGATCATGGCTGCTGTAGTAAAAAGGCACAAAATCGTTAAAGATTTCGGTGTGTGCTTGTTTTCGATCATTCAAAGTTTTGTAGCCCGAGAATTGTGGAACCGGTTTGCCAGTTATGAAACTGTTTCAGCTTTATCGTTTGTGTTTGAGTATTTTTTTAGTGAGTTTCGGTGGAGTTTTATGAATGAAAAAGCGTAAAATTTGCATTTGAAACACGTGAAGTACCACTCGAGATTACTCATACGCCCCAGTAAACCTAGGAGAAGAAATAGCGATTCAGTTCCTAGGGAAAAAGCTGATTCCTCTGTGAATCAACCTCTTACTGACAGGTGCGCCGAACTGATTCATCTTCTCGCTTATTCAAATATACAAATTGAATTATTATTAATTTATTATTTCCGGTGCTGCTCAGACTAAAACGCTGCTCAAAGCTTAGAGCAATAAATAAAGTATCTATAGAAATTCCAACACTTCTAATGCTTTAAGCACTTGTTTGTTTGTTCCATTCCGCTGAATTATCCCCACAAAAGGCTTCAATTATGTCGGTGGCGAAATGAAACCTCAACTCGCCTGATCACCCTGATCTGCCTTCGGTCCGCCTTTCCAAACAAAAAGCCCCAAGACGAGGTCAAACTCAAGCTGTGCAATCGACCAACTGACTGACTGACTGACGGCCACGATCTGGACGATCGACGTTAGACAGGCAATTTGTAGACTTTTAAAATAGTTTCAAATGGAGCCCAGCCAGTCGGCCAGCAGGCACTCCACCAGACAACCTGTGCGCTGTCCGATCGCCAAAAGCGATTGACCACAGCAAACACAACAATGAGGAGTTGGGATCCGGCAGGTTGAACTTATCCATACCCTTTTAGCCAGGATGCTGTCCTCTGGGATATATTTTTAACAAAATAAATAGAAATAATATTATTATTAATATTATATCATTTGTTTTCACTTAAAGTTCAGTAAGTAAAAAAATCCTAAAATATGTATTTCAGTTGTAAGGTCGTGTATTAAGCAGACAATTTTTCATAGCTTATTAGGCAGTAGGTATAGAAAATATAAACAAAATTAATAATATTGTACCCTGATCCCATATCCTGAATACCCTATCAAAAGGGTATAAAAAGCGCATGCAAATTAATAGCCAACTTTGGCCAAAAATTAATTGATCACTCGAGACAGGCAACATTGCAGAGATTGCAGACCAGACTTATAGACTTACAGACTTATGGACCCGACGATCGATCGATCGATGGCCGGCTGATCGCCACGAATTATGTTGGTGCTAGTGGGTAAGTGCCCGCATATTCGGGCTGATCACAGACTTCCTGAGGTAGCCGGCTCGATTAAGTTGGTGAAATGTTTTTTCATGGCTCCATGAACAAATTTCAATTAACATATTCACGCAATAATTGCAGGGGTCTCCGCGGCCCACGTCGCTTGTGGTCAGGGAGGAAAACACAGGCAGCCCACGCTCCAATCCCCACTAGACACGTGTCAAACTTCCGATCATTAGGAGGAGACAGCCGCTCATCGCACCACGCCCACTCGCACCGCTGGAGGGGCCCTAATTAATAAACAGACAAAACAATTTTAAGGCCCCTCTAAAGCACAAAAAAAACATCATTCGAATTGATAAATTATCGAAAATGCAGTTTAGCGTGTGCCTTAGACAAAAAGATATTGAGATTAATCATTGGACCAGGCCGCTCGTCATCATCCGATCAGATGCGTTGGCGATCCTCTGCGGGTAATACCGCCTAATTAATGATGGCCACGCATGGAAAGCGATGAAAATGTCGTCGTATAATCCAGTAGGTCACTGGAAAATACGAAATAATAAAAACAAGAGATCAGGCCCATGATGGAATAGAAGATGGAAAATATTTGACAATTTGATACGGTAGAGTTACCATCGAGAATTTATTAGGTGTCAGAATAATGAGAAAGAAAAGAAAACAAGCCTTTAGAAGTTTCCATTGCAAACAGCTAAGAAATTCTGTAAATGCATATGTAAAAAAATATATTAAACACTCATTTTGTCTTATCAAATTAAATTAGTATACAAATTACCAACTGTGATTATTAAAACATTTAAGAAATAATAACTAAATTATTTAAATTTGATTTTGAAATTTAATTTTTAATGGCAATGGACTGTTATGTTATGTTTATTGTCATTTCGATTACAACGGATATTTCTTTTAAATATTAAAATTCATCTGAGCTTGAATATACTACAGGCTTGGTCTTGCGTTTTGCTCCTCCGATCAGGAGACCCTCGTTGGAATTTGATTGGGGAACTTTCTTGGGCTTCAAAGTGCTGCTCGAGGGTCTATCGTCCTCATCAAACTCATCTACACTGGCATAATTTTCCTGCTCGTACAATGTATTAGAATTTACAGAGCTTACGGATTGGGTGTAGTTCCCATCCTCCCAATCGTTGGGGGTGCTACAGTGAGGCGTGGGCAGAACAGACGGCTTTCGCCGATTCAACTGAGGGTAGCGGCGCTTGTCACGCTCCTCACGCTCCTCACGTCGCAGTTGGGCCATTTCCTCCTTGACGCGACGCTCACGATCCTGCACAGGATCAGCCCCCATGTCCGTTAGCACCTTCACGCCTCCCGTTTTCGGTTTATTCACTGCGCGATTACGCAATCCCTGGACATGACTCTGTCCGAAGACTGAGTCCAGCTTGGGACGCAGGGTCAGTTTGTCTTTTATGAGCCCCTGGGGCTGGTAATAGCTACCGTGGCGGACATACAAGTGACTCTGGTCGTTGGTCACCGGATGGTGCACTATGTCAAAGGCCTCGCCGCCCACATGGAAGGTTTCGCTGCCATCGGACCAGCGAACAATCCTCGCATTCGACTCCATTTCATTATTCGGGCCCATTCGCCATCTCACTGTTGTCTTCAAGCGATTAATGAAGTCGTCGCGTGCCTGTTCGTCCTTCAAATCCTCTCGAGTCATGGCATTCTTGAAGTTTTGAGGATCATAAGCCTTGGATTCCACTTTTATGAAATGGGGCATTTTCAGGATCAGCGGTTGCTCATCGAGAAGGTCACTGTCGGCTGGCAGGGTTGCCTTGAACTCCACCGTCAACTTGTCCGCTAACATTTTGGGGAGCTCTTCATCAATGGGGTGGACTGGAGAATCCTGGGGAGCTTCTTCGTCATATACTGGAGATCCATCGGAGCTGGCATCATCAGTCGGCGAAGCTTCTGGAAGCTGGCGACTGTTTAGACTGCCTGCTTCGCCGGCGCTTGAGGACGAGTCCCTTCTTTCATGTCTAAAAAAACCACATGAGTATTCTAAATTCACCGTATTCTATTTTACCACAACCCACCGATTATAAAAGCCAGCATTATTTCCGTCACTTTTCTCGCCGGCTGATACGTAAAACAAGTTTTAAATAAAATTGCTTTTTTGGAGAATATTATTTCAATATACAAACCTTGGAGCTCACGATATTTAGGATGTTGTCCCATAGTAAAGATTTTTTTGCTTTGGTTGGAAGATAAGTTTAAGTCTCGGCGACCGTCCTGTAATGACCAGAAAAAGGGGAAAGAAAGTTTTCTTTGACACGAATTGGACAGTAATTTCTGCACTGTCATCTGGCAGCAAAGTCCTATCGATTAATAGGCAGAGTAGGAAGTTGTCACCTAAACTTCCAATAATCAGTGTTGTTTAAAACTTATGTTAAAATGTTCAATACTAATACCTAAAGTAATATTGCAAGTCATTTTATCTGTCCACTAAAAAAAGTTTAAACAGGGAATTCCCAAGAATATAAGATAAATTGTAAAAAAAAAAAAAATCCAAAGCCATAATTTATTTTTTATTATTTTTTTTATTATAAATAGAAATAAGACTTTTGGGAAAGACTTGTCCTGATAGTTTTAAAACTGCTGATAAAGAATAAATAGGGTCGGAAACTAGGTTTATCAATGCCCAACAACTGGTTAAACGATGATTAAATACGCCAGCCAATATCAATTTAGACTTCTGTTGGCTTCCACACCCACATTAAGTCATGGCAATTACCGTTGATCTCTGGCTTAGACCGGCTCATAATCAAGACACAAGTTTTAATTTAAATTCGCCCCAATGCCCATATATCTCGCGAGTATCACACACAATGTTGCAAGATCGCTGGGACCACGACGGCACACAGATCTAAGTCGGCCAACTTTTGGCCCCTGGCAGAGAGACAGACTCTGCTCATTGCGAATACCCCTTGGACACCTCGCACCCCCGGTAGACTCCGAAAAATCGGACACTCCACAAATCTCCCGCAATTACAATACTTTATAAACTTATTTTTCTTCTCCCATTGCGGGTCTTGTATTATCGTCTAATTGCATCGCCGACGCTCTTGGCATTTAGCGCGTCAACAAACGAGCCGCCAACGCCGCGGCGACCCCAACCCCAAAGATCCCCACCCCCGGCCCCCTTTTAATCCTCTCACACCTCGCCAGCGGTTCGAATCTGAAAAACAAAAAAGAAATACCTATATTTAAGAGGAAAAAAAACAACAGAGTGGACCGCAGGCCGTTCCATTCATCATTTTTCGTTTAGTGACGCGCGTGCCTCGTGCGCCTCAAATCGAGTGTTATTTTTTTCACAGATTTTCAAATTGAGACGTCATGATCTCTCGTCGTCGTCGGTTTTCTTCGGTTATGGCTATGCTTATGGTCATGTTTATGATTATATTTTCGACTTTGTTCGTGTACAACATTTATTGTTTCATAAGGCACTGCAGGCATGCAACTAACTCTAGGATAGAACATTGTTGTTGCTTACGGGCTACGAGTATAATTTAGCGAGTATAAAACTGCGAATACTACAAAGATCAGTACAATCAGAAATACAACAGAAATACAACCGAATCTTAAACGTAGCTTAAAAATTATCGTTCTAAATTCTAAGATATTGTAATATTTAAAATAAAATCTTAAGTAGGGATAAATTCGAGCTGCTGCTAGTTTTTGGTGTTACGCCTTTGGTGCAATTTAGGTAAAATGTTCAAAAGATATACAGACTTAGGTGATAGCTATATACATATAAATTCGAGTGTAGATAGTTTTTTTCGTTTCGAAGGGGGTTACCCTTGCTCGGTAACCTTAGATCTTTCAAAGATTTTCTAGGATTCAGCTTACATGATTAATTAGACATTTGAACCCTACTTGAATAGTTCCTAGTTGACAATGGATTCCTTTTCCTCGATTCGCTTAGTAATTACACCACTTTTGCAGGTTGTCCGTCTCCTCCTCCTCCTCGTCGCTTGTCGAGGGCGGCGTATCCAGATTGGCGATATCCACGTCCAGATAATCCTCCTTCGCCTGCAGCAGCTTGTCCATATACTCCACGATTTCCGTGAAAGGCGGCCGATCGTCGGCATTGAAGTGCCAGCATTGTCGCATGAGTATGTAGATGTTCATGGAGCACTTTGCCGGCTTCTCCATCCGCTGGCCGGACATCAGATAGGCGTAGAGCTCCTCGGCGGACATGATAGTTGGATATGGCTGTTGTCCATAAGTCATGATCTCCCACAGCAATATGCCATAAGACCAGACATCGCTCTTCGAATCGTAGAATTTCTCCTGCAGCGATTCCGGTGCCATCCACTTGATCGGCAGCCTGCCATTCGTGTTCTTCCTGTAGTATTCGGTGCTCTGAATATCCCTGGCCAAACCGAAGTCAGCTATCTTCAGCACATAATCATCGCTGACGAGCACATTCCGGGCAGCCAAATCCCGGTGGATGCATCGCCGCGAGGCCAGATAGTCCATGCCCCTGGCGATTTGGTGGGCAAACTTGATCAGATCCTTTTCGGTGATCACATGGGCCGGCGGCGATGGCGGCGGCTGTGAACTGTCCCTATCCTGATCCCGGCCAAAGGGTCGATTCTTGAAGAGAAAGTCCTTCAGATTGCCGTGCGGTGCAAACTCGACGATCACATAGAGTGGTCCACTTTGGCTGCAGCAGCCCAACAGATTGATGATATTGATGTGCCGCCCGATGATCTTCATCACCTCCATTTCGCGCACCAAGCTGGAGATGTCGTCGTCCGTGTGGCCCTCCTTCACCATTTTCACGGCCACAATGGCATTGTTCACCTCCGCCATGACAACTCGACCGAAGGCACCTTCGCCCAAAGTGGCGCCCAACACGAGCTGACTCCTGGGCAGCTCCCAATTGGAGTCCAGCGGGAACTCGTACTCATTGAAGGGAGCCGGTTCGGAGCCATTCTGGAAAACGGTGGTGCGCTGCTTCTTGATCTTCACCACCGGCACTAGTAAGGTGTCCATGGAACCGCTGGAATCTCCGCCGCCCTCGGGATGAACCAAGATCACCTTCTTGGTCCACTGGTGGACGGTCTCGATGCGCTGCTTCAGCACCTTTTCATGCTTCATCTTGCGAATGGCGTAGAAGACAAAGAAGGTGGTCATGATGGTGATGAGAATGAAGCCACCCAGGACGAAGATGTACATGAAGCTGTTCGAATTGAGAGTGGCTGTGGCCAGCACACCGTGATCCACTTCTGACCGACTTCGCACCACTCGCAGATAGGCGGTGCTATTCGATTGGCCCAGACTGTTGCTCTCGACGCAGGTGTACCAGCCCTCGTCCTCCATCGTCACGTTCACAAAGTCCAGCCGATCCAGATCCTCGGCTACGATCGATCGGTTGCTCGAACAGTTGTACATCCCCTTGCAGGGCACAAAGATCCAGGCTTTCTTACTGGTCAAATCCGATAGATATTTGCAGTCCATGCCCCCGCTCTCGCTTATTTCGAGTGTGAGATTCGCGGGTCCGGTCATCAGGATGGGTTTATGATTAACTCGATCGCTAACGATCAGCTGCGAAATGTAGCGAATGCAACCGAGGGAGTTGCACACCTTGCAGGTGTAGTTTCCCCCATCACCGGGCACCAGATCCTCCATGGTCAGGGTCCAGCGATTCCGCTTGATGGTTCCATAGCCGCGGGTGAAGGGTTCGGCGGTGCCGTTGCGATACCACGTGATATTGGGCTCCGGATTGCCTAGGGCATGGCAATTGAAGGTGAGCAGCGAGCCAGAGGGTCGCAAGTGCAGCTTACTCATCTTCTTGGTGTTCCGCCAATAGGGCATCGAGGTGACACTTTCCGGCAGAGCCACCTTGACGTCATCATCATCCGCACCGCCATCGTCCACTAGCTCGGTCGTTTGATTTACATTATTGGGATTACTGGGAATTGGAAGACTTCTGTTTTGCCTGCCTGCCAGCAGAATTTCCTGACTGTTGGCCATTTGGCGACGTCCTTCCACTTGCAATGCCATTAAAATCAGAAGGAAGAACAGCGATCCGCTTCTCATTGTGATCGTTGAGCGACTGGCTCGTAAACTCCAGCCAGCAGCCATTTTTAGGATATTTATTTTTGTAACTCTTGCCGAGGAGAGGAAAAAAGGGCAGACAGCAGACAGCACCCTCAAAAGTGCAACAGCAACTGCAACTGCAACTCCCTTGTCGGAGTTTGTCGCATGTGCTGCTGGGTTTTTTATTCACCGGAAATCCACTTTAGAGTACTCCGCTCTATATGCACTGCTCTCTCTCCCTTTTTTCGCTTGCGCCGGAAGAAGATCGGTGATCTTCTAGTTTCTAATTTATAATGCGAGCAACAACAGTTGCCTCTTCAGTGCAACATGTGTGCCTTTGAAGTGATCCTCCACTCCGCTTACGATTGCAATCGGATGCCGATGATGATGATGCCGATGATCCTCTTGATGATCACCTATCTCTTGTTGGTGTAACGGAAATACTTTCCCCCAAAAACAATGCCTCCCGGCGAAAGAGCGGTCTTGTGTGCGATATACTCAGTGAGTTGATGGATTTATGGCAGCCATCTTGTCACCAAAAGAGCTCCACTCGTGGGCGTGGATGATCGCAGGTTCCATAGATCATTCGGCAGCTTGGCTGGGGGAGTGCCGGATTCCCTGGATCGTGTTTGATGTGACTGCAACACCTGGAAGAATGCATACGATTAGATTTATGATCACATCCGTTGAGTATATTATTCTGGCTACACAAAATCATTTCGAAAAACACAACAGTGCAAAAATAAATGGGGAATAGGAAGTGTATATCGGATGTATATTATCCGCTTAGGTTCTTTGACTCAATGTTTTGTTTATAGGCCACATTTTGAGTATTTACAATTCAGACATTTTGCAGAGATGAGATTCTTTTTGGTCTTGACTCGATTAAAGGCCATTTCCATTTGGCGAGCTTAATTAAAATGTCGCGCACATTTCCGGTAACTTGTTCAACATTTCTCGTATACCCGGTCTCTGATTTTTTTTTTTGTCCAGCGCGTGCCATAAATTAAAAACGCACTAAAGGAATGAGTTCTGAGAATCTGCGGCAAATAGAACAAGAAATACTGAGGTTTTTCATCTTTAACGCGTTGCATGTTTTATCGATTTTGAAAATAGCTTTATAGCCGAGGGGCACATAAAGATTTTTCGGCTGCCACTCTTTTAATATCGCCATAAAATGACGACCTGTCCCGGCGTTTACCTTTTTGGCGAGCGAGAAAACTCTTTTCAACTTGTTGTCAGTTTACTTTACGATCGCTTGGGTTCTATATATATTTGTTATGCGCCCTCAAATGTAGTTCTGTTTAAAGTTCCATTCTATTTTTTGCACAACTCTTCGTTTCTCTAGAGGGGTTGAGAAAATGCCCTCCGACTTTTAGCGACTTGTGAATTTTCACGGAGCTGAGCGAAAACTGTTCCAAATGGGTCTGAGTAGTCCGATGTACTGAATATGCCCAATGCCAATTCCAATTCCCAGTGATCGCGTCTGTCTCTCTCTTATTTCACCGACCCTCTCTCTTTCTCTCTACGGATCGCCCTTCTCTCTCTTGCACTATCTCATCTCTCCCACATAAATGTCCTACTCAATGCGCCGGCGTCGGGGAAGAACGACTCAATTTAGTGGGCCCTCGAGTCGCTTCCACTTTTGCCGTTATATTTCCAATGCCTAATACCATGTAGATGTAGCGTAGAAGGGTATGTACAATTTGTGGTTAAAATAGGGGACCTATGCTTTTCCCTCGCTTGGGAAATATATTTTATTGCCTGCTTTTTTAAGTAATTTGTTTAAAAAATTTGGTAAAACAAATCAAGTTAAATTCAGATATTATAATGTCCTTTTTATTTTACTACCTTTACTTTAACTAACTTTGTTTGATTGTTAAAAATTATTTTTTTTACAATATTTTTACAACAAATACCTATTTTATATTATTTATTAGGTAAAAATTAAAATAATCTAAATTTACTTTGTGCCTACTTTATTAAGTAATTTGTTTAAAAAATGTGGTAGAACAAATCTAGTTAAATTCAGATATTATAATGTCCTTTTTATTTTACTCCCTTTACTTTAACTAACTTTGTTTGATTGTTAAAAAATATTATTTTTACAATATTTTAACAACAAATACCTATTTTGTATTATTTATTAGGCAAAAATTAAAATAATCAAAATGTTATTTAAATGAATTCAATATATTCAAATGACAGGTATGGCTGAGTCGAAAAACTCAAAAAGTCTCGTTTCCATTCTTATTGAGGTTCTGTTTTGTTGGTCGTTGCCTTTAGAGTCCCGCATCTTTTCGCTTTCAACGGCTGCCTTAATTTTTCACATATGCCCGCCCCGTCTCCCTCTGTATCTCTGTTTCCCTCCTCTTCCACGAGCATTTCTCTCATCTTTAATTAAAACAGACACAGTTTCTCTCGCTGTTTTGGTGATCTTTCCAGTCACATTCAGCCCACATCTGGCGAACAAAAAAATTAAAGAAATTAAAAGCAACAAAAATAACGCCCAGAGAGACTTCTGTGTTGTGTTGTCCCTGTTTTCCCGCCCCCGGGCCACGCCTACAGTCCGAGTCGGCGGAGACAAGGGCAAATATTGTTTCGGTTTGCATTTGGTGCTCTATTGTTGACTGCAACATGTGGGCACATCATTAGCCTCAAGCGTATATGTATTATACATCTACCTAAGATCGTGCCACATGTGTTGCACAGACATTGTCGCCGGTTCTCGAGGGGAAGTCGAAACCGACGACGGGATGATGGAGTTATCCAAAATTTTTACTTCCAGGAAGGCACCCGCCAAATCGGAAACTGCCAAAAAAAGAAAAAAATCAGAATAGATTTTCCCATCCCCCTCCGGCGAATTAACCTTCACCTCCATCGAAAACAACCGCACATTTTAGTATATTTCCTGTGCAGGTCCGAAATTGCCGAAAATAAACAAACAGGGTGCGGAAAGTATTTGCAAAGTATACAAACAACATACATCTCCTGCCGAATTGAACCGGCGGTCACTTGGGATCCATTTCAATCGCACGGGTTCACCCCAAGTGACGCACTTGGAAGCCCCGCCACCTCCCAGTTTACTCGATACCAAGTGGAGACCGGCACGAGTCTGTAATTTCGCACGGTTCGTTGGCAGGTTCCAGCCACCCAATCTATCCATCCATCCACCATATGCCACTCAGTACGTGACAGCGAGAAGGTTGGATCCGATGGGGGAAACGAAAAGATGCAGATGGAGCAAAAGGTCGAGTGTGGAAAGCCGACTTTATCAAAAAGGCAAACCTCGATACTAAACCAATATTCGAAAAATATATATTTGTAAAAAAATTGTATGGAAACACGACCAAGAAAGGGAAGTATTCTACTTTAAATCTGCTCCGATCACCTTATCATTTTAATAGAAACTTTAAATTGTTAATGTATTGTACTTCACCTTTTAAAACTTTAATCATATTTAAGGATTTGTAAGAAATATATATTTTGGATAAGAGCTGCACTTCAATAAAAACTCCAGCGTTATAAATTTCTATATTTATTTAATAATATTCTATAGGAAAATATTGATTCTATTATATTCTTTAGTTTTTTCTTTTAAATATGTACAAAATTAAGTTGAGATTAAGTAATTGTAAAACTCTTAAAGATTGTAAAGAAAACGGTGAATATTTTCCATAAGTGTTTACTCTTAAGAATTGTTTATAAATGGCTGTGTAATTAATAACAATAGTCATAACTCTAAAGTAATTTAAAACAATATTTGGAATGTATTAAGAGCGAAACCATTCATTCAGAAAAATAGGACTTAAAAATCTAGTAAACAAAAATTTTAAGATCCATTCCAAGCGGAAATAATAAAAATGAGCCAAAATTAATGGTAAACATAAATGTTAAATTGCAAACTTATGGAAATAGCGAAAAATATTTTAAAGCACAAGAATGCAAAAATGTGTTAATCACATCTTGTTTAAATATACCCATAATATAAACAATAAATTAATGTTTGCGGTAATTCTTCACTTCCCATCACTGGGGATCAAAAAATTATTCCAATGCTGTTGGGTGTTTCCACCTGGAGCGGAAGGAATGGGAGGAATCGGCCACACAATTAGCTAAACAAACCTAACCTTAATTATCATTCATAAATAAGATTGCCGACCGGAGAGAAGAAAAGTAACGAACGACGATCGTCAGGGAGAAAATTGAGGGATTGCCAAAGGCAACAGAACGAAACGGCTTCTGTGAGACAGTGAGAAGATGGCATCGTAAAGCTTCCCGACCGACAAAACAGATACCCGATAAATATATACAAATAGCTATAGCTATATACACACAGATATAGAGCAAGTCGGACAAAGAGCAGACAAGTTGAAATGTTTGTTTACGCGACTAGAAAATATTGCATGTTCCCCAGAGAATCTAGAATCTAGATGCTGTTGGTTAATAAACAAAATCCCATTTCACAAGTCCAGCTGAGAAGCAGAAGACCAAATTATGAATTTGAAATATTTTCTCAGCTCTGCCGCATCGGTTGGGTTGTAAAAGCAAATAAATAAATATAAATTAGAATGGGAACCCTGTGGAAAGTGCTTTCAATTTGAGCATGAACCATAACAGAGGCGGGCGAAATAAAAAACATATTCTATGGGGCTTTCAAATCCAGAACTGGCCATATTCAGTACGTTATACGTTATGGGGTAGCCAGAGAACAGATAATTGAACGATTGACTACACACACAGCGAGATAAACGACACAAATTGCTTTGGTTCAGCAACATGGAACCACAGCACATTTTACACTTTTTGGCCTTTGGGTGAAAAGTCAAATTGCTGTGCTCGGTCAATCAAAAAGTAGACCAAACAAATAATTTGCGCAATTACGCAAAAAGCAAAATAAACCAAAGCGTTGCCTATGTCTATAGTAACGAAAGCATATATATTTTTAAAGACTTACCTCACAATGTGCGTTGCTCCAAAACAAAAAGCTTCTTGCCAAATAGCCAAATATCCAATGTGTCTCTGCGTTGGAATTTCTCTCGCCTTTGGTTTAGTTGTAAATGTTTCACCAAAAACACAATTGAGAAAGTTCACAGAATTCGAGAATGTTTCCACTTAAAATTCTTGAAATGTTTTAGTACGTATTTATATGGCACTTAGGCACTAAAACAGAAGGAGAAACTGCTGCACACTTGGCTCTGTCTCACTCTTTGCTTCGTTCCAAATGTGTTTTCACAGTACACGTATACCACACTGTTTTTCTAATAATTATTAAGCATAATTATTTAGCGATATTGACCGATCGATCGATCGCTGTGGATTTTCCTCCGATTTTCTAACTGTAACGGCACACAGTCCGATCGCAACTGAAGAGCCAAACACCGAGCGGAACCGAGGCAGCTCTGCGAAATAAATCTCTTCAATTAAATGAGGGAACAAATGAAACGAATTCATATTCCCCCATCA